TAGTAGCCTATGTGGTCTTCCAGACTATGTTCTACATCTATGCCAAATTTCATCGAGATCCGTTCTGGAGATACTTCCTACAAACATTGGTCCTTCCATCTGAACATTCGCATTTATAATATTAGAAAGATTGTAGACACTGCAAATCTTTAAACTATTGAATACTACGATGAATCTTAATATTTTCTTAACAATTACTTAAAAAACTATTGTATCGTACTACGATTACTATTTTGAAGTAATAATCATAGAAACAGTAACTGAACTGTATATTTCAGTAGGCAATTGCTACTACTTAGTAACTACGGAACTGAATGTGAAAGTATTTTATTGCGTACCATTTCTATTTGCCTGTACACATGTCTTTAACAAAATGAGCGATATTATGAGTCGAATGTAGTTTCTATCGTTACAAAGTAAGAGTTAACGTTTCTCTTATGACTTTTGCTTGTGATTTTACACTGTTATCTGTTTTGGAACATTGCTCTAACATCCTGTGAGCCTAGCACGAATGTTTGTGATAATCGCCTTCGTATCGTCATTGTCAAAATTAATGAGATTTTCGGTGTGCTATACGCCTGATTGGGGCGCTGCTTTTTAATTCAAATTTTGTCGATGAAGACGCGATTGTAATAAATATTCGTGATACGCCCACTGTTGAAGGGAATCCACGAGAAATTTGTCAAAACGTCTTAGTGTAAGATCCTATTAAACATTTGACATTTTAGCTTTTTACCCGTCTGACACAAGTCGGTTATTTTTTACGCCAGTATGCAAGATTTTTTATGTATGTATAATTTATAGTGATATAAAATATTGAACCAAACTGACTGATTTTAACTAGTAAGATCTTTATTCCTGGAGTGTGACGAAGAGGGTCAGTCAGACGTGTTTTTCTAGTACTTTTTCTTCGTCGTTACAGTCTTTTCAGGCTGGTCGTAGTCATCAAGTATCAGTGACTCGCTTTTTTTAGCACTACATACCTACTTTTCACAAAAAGTGTGATGATTCGGGTATAGCTATGTTATGTCCTTGGTCCGAGAAAAAATAGCGAACGTGTATGTTCAAGTACACTATTGTGCTTTCAAAGGATGTATTATAGAATATTAGTTTTATCTACACCGCAATGTGTAGACGTTACGGCGCGCGTCTCCGTGTTGAATTGCAAGCCAATTTAATATTTCGTCCGCGTAGGTTTGCAGTTAGGTGTTGAAATGTTAATTTTAGCATATACGCTGACCCCGTATCTGACGGTTACATTGTTCTAATGTCTTTTATAAAGAAAATTTATTATAACAATCGTATTTAGATTGCTGAAAAGATAACGCTTAATATGTTTTAAACTTAATAAAATTTACTTTCGAATACGAAATGCAAACATTTTATTGGTCGATATGTTTTATTCAATTTTAAATTGTAACTCAAAGTGTTAGAGTTGATTTTACTGTGTAGGTAACACAGACGTACGATTATGGAAGGTTTTTTTGTGCATTAGAGAAACATAGGTAATGCTATGCAAAGCGAGGTGGGGTGCGGTTGCGCAAGCTACGGCGTCGCCACTTTACCGTTGTGCGTGCGGTGCGCCACTTGTGCAACTGTGACCGGTTGCTCGTCCCCCACTGCCCCTCTCCCCTCCAACTAAACTCCTCCTTATTCCTCATCCACAGATCCAAACTCAAATATCGTGGAAAATATTATATTGCATCACAATCCCCGTATAGGTAATTGACCCCAACAACAATGCTCCCGAGGTCGAAGTTGTATAATGTCATATTTAGCAATGTGTCATGATTTCCATTTGAATTTTATAAATGAAAATGAAATATTTATTTCTTATGTATAATAAAAATAGTATTAAGCTACTTGATAATCTTACTTCTTACTAATATTATAAATGTGAATGTTTGGATGGGTGGATGGACATTTGTTAGAAGGCATGTCCAGAACGGATTAACGGATCTTGGAAGAACACATAGGCTCATAATTAAGTTCTTTTATCCACGTGGACGATGTCGCAGGCGATAACTAGTTCTTGAATAAAACGATGAATTAGTAAACGAAAGTTTTACCAGTTCTATTGGAATATTTAGTGAGAGCTTTAGTGTAGACTAAGTATAAATCTATAGTTATAGTTACCGATTGTGTAATGGGCATTAAATGAATGAGTGTTAGACGCAGATTGTAGTTGCTATGCAAACCAAAGCGTTGACAAAACGTTGCTATCGCGTATTTCACCGTTAACTTCTAGTTTTGACTCGATTAGTTCACTCATTGCTTGTGAATATGATAACTGTTATTAGCTGTCGCCCGCGACTCCGTCCGGATATAAAAGAAACTTAATTAATAGCCTATGTGTTCTTCAGAACTATGTTCCACATCTGTGCAAGATTTCATTAAAGTCCATGCAGTTGTTTTTGAGATACCGTCAAACAAATCAACCATCCGTTTAATTGAGGACGATAGCTGGTATTAAATACAGTCACTAAATAGATTAATAGGTTAGGTTAATAGATTATCGTTATTGAGAATGGATCGTTATTACGTCATAAATGTTAATATCAAAAGGTGCCCAAGGCCGGGCGTGTAATGGTCAGTTTTATCACTTGATAAGGCAGCGATGTGATTTATTCATAGTCTGGCCACCCGTCTCTCACACCCTCTCTTAATGTGTTTGATTTACTATATTTGTACGTCTGTTTAAATATTTGCAGTGCATGTTTTTGCAAGGAGATAGGTCGTTGTGGACGTCTTTAAGAATGATTTTAATTTCATGCAATTATATCTATCTATCTCTTCTTAACAACCATACATCTATCCATACACGCTTTCTTACACTTTTAATTTAAATTAGGGTCATATTTGCATTTAAAGAATTACTCAAAAGACTTTATGTAGCAAATTAGAAATCTGTAATCTCCTAAATGTCCCTCTGAGCTTTATTCGTCTTTTTAATTAATATATCTGGCAGGAAATTATTTTTTTTTCATATAAAGTTGTATCTTGCTGTGTTAAATTGGTGTAAATAACTTCTCACGACCACATTACCCTAATGGGCTGAAATTATGTTTGCATTTAAAAATGTTGAACGTTTAATGTATATAAAATCAAGGTAACTGTCAACCTCAGTTATAACCTGACATTAATTATCTGCCAGGAGTAGGGGACCCAGGGGAGGGGATGTCTCTCCCTCTACTCGTATAGTCAAGGCGCCGGATAGCATTTTAATTACTTTTATATCTACGATGTATGATATTAAAATCATTAGCATTTTTAATATAACTTAAGAGTATTTTATTTATTACGTTTTATTATTACTTTAGTTAATTATTGTTTAAGTTGCGTAGAGTTCACTATAAAACGTAAAATAAGTTTGAATAAAAAAATGTTTTGGTCACCATTATTGGTTAAATTAACTTAACTTTCTTTGTATCTGAGGGTTAGTACGGTTAGATTTCTGGACTTATCTAAGATTATTACATTTAATTAATCGTAATTAGAATTAACTTTCTACAGATTATAGTAATGAAAAATAATTTTCTTAAATAGCAAGCGACGCACAGTGGGCAGTTTCTCGACTTTGTTAGACATTATCACATTTTTGATGAATATGTCTATGAAAGCCGAGATTTTTGGCCAGTGTGCGACGCAGTGAAGCGTATATATTGCATTTGTCCGGTTTCCTTTTATCGCCTCCCCGACGTATATTTATTGCTCGACGTAATAATTTCGCGTTAGATACGATCTTCAAAAGTTTTATCTTTCGACATTTATTAATTTAAAAGTCTTTATTAGTCATGACTTGATAATATCTTGAGCTTGGTATGTATCTTAAATGAGTGTATCGCTTCGACTCTTGGTTATTTACGTATATATGTAGTCTTTAGTATTTTAACCAACAGTTTTAAAATCTATCTGTTTATTATGGTAGCAAAATTACTTTATTGTTATGCATAGCCTATGAATTGAACGCTTTGCTATGTTTTTTTTTTGTAGAAAAATATTAGCGGATTTTTATTTCTTGTACCAATTCACCTAAACACTATGCTTATATAGTTACTTATAAAATTAGACGATCCACTGTTTGCTTAATAAAAAGCGAACAAAGGATTCAAATTAGCTAATGGCTTTTTGTAACACAGAAACGTTGATTTTAATCAAAAATAAAGCGTTAGTAACAGCAGTAAGTGCAGCGCAATTGACAATGACCGGCCAAGGTCGCGCGTTGCATGGCGCCTGCCTGATGACGTCACACGATGCCAACCCAGATTATCTTGATCGTGTTAAGATAAAGGATAACATCTGTTGTATTGTAGTTTGGACGTTGAGGTTAATGTTAAATGTAATATTGTAGTAAATGTTATTGGGAATAGTGATTAAAATGCTTTTTAATCCTTTATTTATTCTCCCATTTAAATGTTTTTTTCTTTAATTTCTTTTTAATATTGAGTTTATCAGAGTGGTTTTTAAATAAACGTAATAAAAACTAATCAGATGGTAGTATCTCTTAAGTTTTGTTGTGGCCATTTTGGGCAGGTTGTGTTTAACGACAGAAGCCAAAGTTGCCTATTGAGAGCTTACTTATTTAACGTTTATAGACTACCTTTTAAGTGAAGTTGTAAAAACTATCGCACTAATACGATTACTATGAGTATAATAAACCGAATTTTGTAAATTTTAATTCTTAATGTTTGTTCAAATCCTATGATTGCTATAGCGAATTAATTTTACATTTCTGTAAATGTTTGTTCGTCTTATGTCTATTTGAAATTAATAATATAGAGTCTTGACAAAAACTTTAAGGTGAGGCGACGTAACCTTGTCTTTTGACAGTACCACCGTCATTTTCGGGCAGAGATTTGTTGAGAGGGATGTAGAAGAGGTGGCCACTTCTTTGTTTGTCACCTTCTATGCAAAGTGTATATATCTTTTGTTTCTTTCATCTATGTTTGTATATGTAAACTATAAATTATCGAGAATATTACCTTAACGCAACATAACAGATATAACTGACCGTCTAATAGCGATGGGTTTCCCCGCGGAGAAGCTGGAGGGTGTCTACAGGAACCACATCGATGAGGTGTACCGCTTCCTGGAGCAGATGCACAAGGGACATTACAAAATATACAACCTATGCTCCGAGAGGTCCTATGATAAGAGCAAGTTTCACGATAGGGTGAGTACTATTTCATATTTAAATACGATCCAGAAAATCTTTGCAACAGATTAAATCTACTAGGCGTTACATGTGACTTCGTCAAGCCAGAAAGAAGTTCCAATTTTTTTCTGTGTAACCCATAGTTACGTATATTGTAATATTTGTATATACAATCGAATCTGGATAAGCGAGAAACCTCTAAGAGCGAGAGTCATTGTTCGGCCTTGACAATGAACCTTCATAATCGAAAAACAAGGATAAGAAATCTATAGAAGCGAGAAAAATATTGCGGTCCCTTGGACTCTCGCTTATCCAGGTTCAACTGTATTTGACGAGAATGTTCTTTAATGATTTATATTTGTTAAATTCGACATTCGTTCAAGATGACTTTTTAAATCGTGATATTCAAATTCACGAATATAATTTTATCGATCGATTGCGTGATCTGTGTCCAATTTTTAAAACTACACAATATATTTTGGATTTTATGGACCATTTACCTAATATTCACATTCACAATGTACCTAGGAATTTATAACACCGTATTCTATGAAAGGCATTCGCCTAAGTAAGATCTATGTCCATCTATGACGTCACCGATATCGTCTGATAGCGATGATTAGTGGGCGTTTGCTTGTTAGCCACCTTGAACTATAAAAAACCTTTTTTTACATTACTAAAAAAAAAAGAAAATTGTCACATACAAAAGGTCAATGTAATCAGAAACAAATTACATGAAATTAAAAAACAATCATGAAAATGTCAAAAACCAGGTCAAAACTTAAAAGTCAAAAAACCAAAAGCAGTCAGGGACGGAGTGGTACTGTTGCCGAGACTATCGTAGTATTATAAATAGGAATTAAAAATGTAAGGTTAGACTTTCCTGTCATAGAACAAAGGTCACTGGAAATTTAGTGGCCTAAGTTATTCGGAATACGGAAAATTCGAATACTTCTAGTTAATAATCTGGATTGCTGGCAGTATTCCACTTTCAAAGCCATAATTCTTTGAATGTATTGTAACGATAATGGTCGTTAAATGTTATAAAAATATTATTTCACACTAATTTTGTTTAAGACTATACAGACTGACAGAAATTATATAAAAGAGTTCGTAATATGCCGACCACCTTTAGACAAAATGGTAGAGGTATGGCGTCGTTGTTAGTAGCTTTATTAATGTAAAACTTAACTGAAGTTAATGTTTTACATGGAAATTAAAGTATACTATCGGATGAAACGAACAGCGCGTGGTAAAGCTGACGCCGGATAACATTTAGGTATCCTAAATTTAAATTTTAAATCACCTTACAAACGCCGCGACTCGGTTTTACAAAGGGAGCGCGTGATAAAAGCGGTTACTAGATGCGCCTATCATATTATTTTACATAAATCGATATAGATAAATAAAGCATTTTTATTTTTGGGGAAGGCAACATTTTTTTTGTAACAGAAGGGGGCAAACGAGCAGCGAGAACAGAGATTTTTCATAGTTCTTCATATATGTATGCATTAATAGATGAATTATTACTACACCGTATGATATTTTAATATGTGTCGCTTTAACAAAAGTTATCATTTTAAAATAAGACCTCGTTCTTATGTAGACGTGACGAATACGTTTGCAATTAGTGAATATTAAAATCATTTAAAATATTGTATTTAATTACGCAAAACGAATAGATTGATGTGTTAAATATTTCTTGTATTAATTATAGCAGTTGGATTTGATTCACGCATATGCAGTGTTGGAACTGTCGGCATATTGCATCATATTATGACAGGAATACCAAAATTACAAATACAAATACTGTCAAAGTAATATGTATGAATGGATCATAGATTCACTGGTGATCTTTGTTTGGTGCAAACTTTATGCTATCCTTGTTAAGTTACATGTTTGACATTTTCGTCATTTATATTGCGCAATATAATGATCCTTTGCTCTTGTTCTGACTTGATTTTGTTTCTTTTTTCGACTGTTGGAGGAAAGGCTAAAATTAAACATTTTTTTTATATTATAAGGTGACAAACGAGCAAACGTCCACCTGAAATCACTGAAACAGCGAAGCGACTGCTGCCCATACACATCCGCAATTGCAGATGCATTGCCTACCTATTATCGACAGAGGATGCACAGAAAGAGAATATTTTCACTTATCATGCATCCCCTCATCCTGAATATCCAGTTCCACTTCCCATCCTTCCCTTATAATAAAAATGTTAGGAAGTGAAAGAGGATTAAAATTAGGCTTCCGATACCACACTCATCAGACTGTACGCGGAATTGCTTCCACTTCACACCTGTCTTCTGTGTGGTCGTGGTATTCCGCCGGGCGAGCCGGGCCAATTCGTGTGAAGATGTTAAAGCGGGCTCTACCAATGTTAGAAAATGAAATGAAACAAATGAAAGCATTTCTTTAAAACCATACATGGTGTTTATTTTAACGTTCATTGAAAAAGCTTTCTTGCTTACATTAACACAAATCATTCCGTAGCGAGATATAGTTACCAATTACGGTAACTAGTATAGATTGGGCATCGAACGTGGTTCATTATGTATTTAAATTATTTTCGTAATGGTTATGACGAAGCTCAAATATAGCCTTGGGCTATTCGTTATGTTTAAAAGAATTTCGAGATATTATGACATACTTTCTAAGACAAAAAACAGTACTTTAGAAATGATATTTGAGCGTGTACTAAGGACCTATAGAAGGTTATTAATCGCATGCTAATTATGGGTAACTTTAGTTGAATTATATTACCATTGCTCGTTTAATTTATAACTTAAAATCGCATTCTTTAGTGGATATGGCATTGGATTTTATTTTCCATTTAATATGAAATTGTCGAAGCGCCCACGTGAAATCCGTCAGCGGTGAACGTTGCGCAACACTTAACCCGATTACACGTGACTGTAACCCAACTGGGTAATATTGTGTAGTACGCAAACCCAATTGGGTTGCTAACCTCACATTGTGATGTTAAATCTATTCATCGCATATTTAAGAACAAGCTTTCGTCCGTGCGGAATTAAAAAAATATATCAAGAAGTTTATATGTTCCTTCAGACTATGTTTGACATCTGTGCCAAATTTTATCGTAATCCGTTAAGACTTTTTGGTGATACCTTCTTACATCCATTATCTAGGCTAGAATTTATAATATTAGTAAGATGCCAAAATAGAGCTCCGAGAATATGAACAGACGCCGAATATATTTAAAAGAAACCTTATCTTTGAAACAACAGAAATAAGTAAAGGTTTTTGTAAAATTGTTTAGAAAGACAACACACTTGTATATACAGGATGTTGTAATATTGTGATTCAGAGATTCGGACGAGTCATCCCTCTTGGTATAGTCGTCTGAAATCTGCGGTCGGCCAAACCGCTCAACATCCGTTCCATGACCATATATGGCTATCATATCGTAACCGGTACATACTAATTTGTTTAATTTAGGTTATCCAAATTGCCGCCCTTGGTTGAATCGAACGACATTTTCGAATGACTAAAGAATTATAATTATTGTTTCTTTGAACACAAATGTTCACTTAATTAAGTTTTTAAAAATGTTTTAAACTTATGTGATAACTAAACTACCGTTTAAGAATAAGCTAATGTTGCCGTCTCACTTATAGTAAAACTGTCACATGACTTGCTTTTATACAAGCTTTTAAAGAGACATCCTGTATAGTAAAATATACGCATTTCTGTTATAACATTGATTAATTTGCATTTTTTTTACCACACCAAATTTATATCGTGGATCATCAGATTGTTTTATTTAAATTATATATTATTGTAATAAAAAACATAAATTTCTTAATTCATATAATTAATGTGGTCAAATGTCTGTCAGTCTGTCCAGTCAGTTAAAGGTAGGCAAACTAAATAATCATAATAATTTACTACTAATTATAATTAAGTATTATTTCCTTATATACTTATATAGCAGTTCACAGGAATTGATTCTTATTGGGTTTTGTACTCGACAAATTTGAGGATATGATTTAGTACAAGATCATTTTCCTTTCCCCAAATATAGTTATAAAGTTCTACTGTTAACTGTCGTCAATTGCATGTCATTAAAGAAAAACAAAATAAGTACAAGTAATCCTCATCAGCTGGATATATGTCATTTAGGGGCTCGGAACCTACCATACGTCAGTGGTGGCTAGGCCATTGTGACCCACAGCCCAGTGCGGGTTGACTTCACACATATTTTTGAATCTCTTCTCAGCTATTTACCGTAAGAACCTCGAATAACTGTATATATGTACATCGAAAAACAAATTTACACATGGCGGGATTCGAACCCAGGACCTGCAGATTGCAAGTAAGGTGCTTTAACCCCTGAGCCACCAACACTCAAGTTATCCGTGGAATACGAATTGAAAAACATCTCACTACATCGATCTCTCGTTAAGGAGGTTACAATGTAAACTATATAGGTACGTATTTGTCTATAAAAACATAACTCTTTAGTCAATCAAGCGAAGTTGTCAGCTCCACTTTGGTTGGTAACACGACGCAGCCATGACCGTAGGCAAACAATGCAACAGCAGCCGAGCCTGGCCTTGGTGAGGAAGGTGAACCGGTCGCCGGCGACCACGATCGGCCTTTGCTGGCAATCGCTTATCCTTTACCGGAGAACGGAAAGGATAGCTCATACTATACGACAAGTGCCTTCATTTTGTTAGTTAATTGGAACACCTTATTTGTAACATAATCCCATACATTAGTCTAGAATATTTATTTAGTTACTTCTCCAATTCAAACGTGTCAATAAAGTACATATCCATTGGCCCTCGTCGGACGCACGGCACGCACGTCACGCAATGGATTTTAGTTTGTGTGATTTTCCATATCATCCGCGCTTCCCGCATCGCATCAAGACAAAGCAAATCCGTTTAATCCATGCGTGTCTGCTTTTTATGTCTGTATTTTACTCTGGAAAATAATATCTGTTTCCATGCATGTTGGCAATATGTTACTTATTTGTCGTTAGTTTTGT